CTCGCATTTTCCAAAGGCTCTGGCTTCCCCACGGCCTCTGTGCAGTGCCTGCCCAGCCGCTCTCCTCTCCGGTCTCAGGCAGCCCTCCTCTACTGAAATGGAATGCTCTTAAACATGAGCTCCTCCTCTTGTCCTCTGACCTCCCAGTCCTGATCCCCCTGACCACCTTTCTGCACTGGTTTTTGTCCCTCTATCTGTGAATGAGCTCAAGATCTTCCATTGGTCTCCCACAGGCCAGGACTTAGGAGCTACTGCCTGTTTCCCTAACCCCCAGTTGCACACTTCTCCTGACGTCTATACTCCATATACACCCACACTCTCCTTTATGCCTCAGTCCAGGGCAAGCTAGCCCCTGTTCCTACCCTTTCCACAGAATGTCCCTTTGTAAGGTCGCCAGCAATGTTACCTGCAGAAATCAGTGTGTACTTTTTTTGGTCCCAATTAATTTGATCTCTTTGAGGCATTTGATACCATCCTTCCAGAAATATTTCCCCCACCGTGGCTTCCACATCCTCCTACCCTTCTGATGCTTCCCACCAAATGCCTGCTGTCCCCTCTTCGTTGACCCAGCCCCTAACCATTGGTTTTCCCCCAGAAGGGAGCACAGTGTGGGTTAATGCACATGGGGCAATGCAGTGGGGCCTCATCCTCTCTCTGCTGTCATGTCAGTTCTGAAATTTATAAGCCCTAGTGTGTTCCTACTGCCCCATCTTTCAAGTCCCCTTTCCAGGGTTTCAATTTCCACCTCTTCTTTTCAGTTCCACACACATGATCTACAGACAAGCTCATCTACTTCCAAGATCCCGACTCTCCCCTATGCTAATGACTTCCCAATCTGTGTCTCCAACAAGATCTTTCTGTTGAGTTTGACTCATACCATATGAGTTGGGCACCTGTATCCAAATGTCCTGTGGAATCTCAGATTCAGCAGGTACTGAATAGAATCATTCTTTTCCCCTCCCACAACACCTGCCAATTTACCCATGTTCTCTTAGTCAATGGTACCACCCTCCACCTAGGTGATCAAGTTCAAAGGCTGTCTGTCATCGTAGACCCCTCCTCCTCCTCACACCCACAGTCACTCTGGGGAGCTTGTCCATCTCACTCCCTAAGAATCTCAAGTCTCTGGCCACATGCCTGTTCTTTATTGCTTCCTGAGCTCAGTTCACATCTCTTGTCAGCTCTTGCCCGGATTATTCCCATGGCTCAGCAACTGCCTCCATGCATTAGCTCACCCCTCCCAGTCCACCAGGAGAGGCCATGTGGTGCAGCATGAGTGTCAAGGCTCTGCAAGCTGACTGTTCAGATACAGTTCCTGGCTCTGTCTTCTGCTATCTGCAAGCTCGAGTAGGTTCCACTGGTTCCTAAGTAAGATGGAGATAATAACAACATCAACCTCAAAAAAGTAAGTGTGAGGATGAGGCGGTTGTGAGGATTAAATGAGTTGATGCATGTCAAGTACTTCGCACAGCACCTAGCACACATTGAGTATTAGTTGTGTGATCATCATCATCATCATCTTCTGCACCAACAGGGAGCTCTTTCTAAAGGGTTTTTCCAACCACTACTCTGCTCAAAACCCAGCCATTTGAAGAGAGATTTGTACACCGTGTTCTTAGCAGCATTATTCACAACAGCCAAAAGTGAAAACAACCCAATGACTATCGAGGGACGAGTGGATAAGCAAAACGTGGCGTATCACACAATGGAATGTCATCCAGCCTTTAAAGGGAAGGAGGTCTGGCACATGCTGCAGTGTGGACGCCGTGCTGTGGGAGACAGGCCAGTCACAGAAAGGCAAAGACTGTGTGATCCTACTCACAGGAAATACCTAGAGTGGTCCGTTCATAGAGACAGAAAGTGGAATTGTGATTGCCAGAGGCTGAGGAGAGGGGAGTAGGGAGTTATTGTATAATGGTTACGTTTAGTTGAATTACAATGGTTGAATTTAGTTAAGGAAGATGAAAAAATTCTGGAGATGGATGATGGCGATGGTAGTGTGACAATGTGAACGTACTTAATGCCACAGAGCTGTGTGCTTAAAATGGTTAAAACGGTAAATTTTATGTTATATATATATGTTTATACGTTTTTATAACATAAAATATATATTTATATATACAAATTATATATAATATATAAAATATTCTATATTTTATATTAATATTAAATATTTTATATATAATATTTGCATAACACGAAATATGTTATATATAAAACCAAATTTATATATAATATATGGTTTTATATATTAAATATGCACACGTGTATATTTGATGTGTGTATGTGTATGTTTTTTAAACCACAATAAGAAAAATGCAATAGAATAAAAAAACCCTTCAGTGTCTCCTCTGTGCCTACAGACGCAGCTGAGAGGCCAGGGCGTGTGCCGAGCCCTGGGGGATCTGTCTCAGTTTACCTTTCAGGCCTTGTCGCCTGCTCTCCCTGGCTGCAGCGACACAATGCTACTGTGGTCTCTGGGGCCGTGACCTTGACCAACACCCGGCCTCTGGCAGGGCGCTCCCCTGGTCCCGGGCCTGGCCCTCCGCTTCCGTGGGACTGGATCCACAGCGCCACCTTCAGGAAGCAAGGCCTCCATGCAGCCCCTTGCGCCCCACGCGCACTCGCTGCTCATGTCCACCCCAGGCGTGGGCGTCCACTGTTCCGTCTCCCTTACGTGACTCAGTTGTCGTCTCTGCCTCAGCCCAGTCTGTGATGGAGAGTAAAACATCAACTCATATTTACCAAATGAGGAAATGAAGAAACGAATCTTTTCTCAAGACAAGAGCCATACATAGCAAGGCAGTCATATTCCTTGGTTTCATTATGTCCCTTGGTTGTGGAATAAATGGCAGTTTTTAATCTCTCTAAATGCTAATCATAGTAATTTTCCTCCAGTCCATCTACCTAAGCTTCCTTCTCACCCTAACAACTTCTGACAGTGTTTCACTGTGGAAATGTTTTTGAGGAGGGTGTGCCTGCAGGACGGTCCTGGCTGCCTCCTCCTTAGGAAGACTGGTTTAGATGAAGCTGTCTCCAGGGAACATTGGGCAAAAGTTGCAAGTACAAGATAATCTGATGCGCCCTCCCCAATACATTGTCTCTCCACCACTAGTGTATATTTGAAACAATTACAGCCATTACCCTAAATTCAGCAGTAAGCCCAGAAACTGAAGAGCTGTTCACCAGGGAATGCCCTGTGTCACTTGTGAAGTGGGCAGCATGGCCTGTGCTGTGCCCGGGCTCTCAGACAACCTCAACACCGCTCAGTTCCTACTAATGGGAAGAACCAGGGGATTGGGACGAATGCAGAGAATTTGCACGTGTTCATGCCCCTGTTAACTGAAAAACAGAACTAACTTCTCTCTTTCAGGCTTGAATCACCCATAGAGATAAGAAGCAAAACTTTTTTTTTTTGAGATGGAGTCTCGCTCTGTTGCCCAGGCTGGAGTGCAGTGGCCGGATCTCGGCTCACTGCAAGCTCCGCCTCCTGGGTTCATGCCATTCTCCTACCTCAGCCTCCCGTGTAGCTGGGACTACAGGCGCCCGCCACCTCGCCCCGCTAGTTTTTTGTATTTTTAGTAGAGACGCGGTTTCACCGTGTTAGCCAGGATGGTCTCGATCTCCTGACCTCGTGATCCGCCCGTCTCGGCCTCCCAAAGTGCTGGCATTACAGGCTTGAGCCACCGCACCCGGCCAAGAAGCAAAACTTTTATAACAGAAAAATTGCAAAGTCAAACTGGATGGACTTCAGGGAAAAGCCATTTGTATTTGAAGATCTATGGAGATGTTTGCAACAGGATTACTGGAGTACTGTTCCCAATCACTGAAACCCACACAGATGATGACTACTTCTGTGAGGACACCTGGTTTCATAGAATGAATGGAGCTATCTGACTGTAAATTCCCCTTTTGTAAAATGAACCAGGTTTTCTCTGGGGCATTATTAAACTTTTGAAGGTGTATTTTCACACTCTCTATAATTCCTACTTTGTACAGAGTTCTGCTTCAGCTCTGAAGACAGGGCAATCTAACCAAGCATTCACTTTTATCCTTCACTTATTAAACTCAACAGTCAACACAAGTTGACTCTCAAGTTGCGAGGTGAATGTACATGTCTACGGTGCATAGACTGCAACCTGCCCATAAAAAACCTGTTCATGGAGACCACTTAGAGGCCTGAGGCCCCATGTTTTCTTATGTGGGGATAAGGATGTTCTCCAAAATCAGTCTCAAAATCAGAGCTGGACTTTTCTAGCCTTGCTAATAGACTTCCACTCGGACAAGCCAGCATATGGCACTGTGGAATGTCAGAAATGATTCTTGCTGAACTCTCTCATTTAGGGAAGGGGAAATAGGTCATCGATTCCCCTGAGAACACACAGAAACTTGGTTGGTGCTGCCAAAACAAGAAGGCAGGGTTTCCCGCCTCCCAACTCTGAACTGATACTACATTTCAGCAACCATAACATTCATGGAAAAGCGAGTCCTGGCCAGGAAGAAGGCCAGAGGTCCCAGATAAGCCCCAGGCACCATGGAGCTCCCGGGCTGGTGGGATCCTCCCCACACCTTAGGCCACATGGGACAAACTTGTTTATTTGTTGACTCAATCATCCACATATTCATGTGCTCTCCAGTCATTCACTCTTTCATTCAACTGGGAAGTAGCACAGCCTGAGTCCAGATCTGAAACACTTGGCCTGAATCCAGACTCTGCCACCTACTTGTGTGATCTTGGGCATGTTATTTGCCTCCCCTTGCCTCACTTTTCTTAACTGTAAAATGAGGATAACAGTATTATTTACCATATTGTTGTTGTTTACAATACAATGCAGTGGTTATAAGAAATACATTAATTAGCATATATAAAATGCTTAGAACGGTGCCTGGCACACAGCAAGTTGTAGAGTGGTCTCTAATCCAGCACTAAGTTGTGGAAGAAATACCTCCAGTTCTGGAAGGAATGCATAGGCTGGTCTGTTTGAGGCCGCTCTCTCAGCATGTTTGGCACTGCCAGCAGCAGTGATGATGAAAGCAGCGACCTGTCAGTCAGAGGCCTAAGTTTCACAGAGTGGAGGAATTTAGGGGTCACAGGAGGTGTTGGCTTGTCTCAGTGCTCACGTATGTCTGAGACTGAAATGAACCAACATAAATGAATATAAGATTTCAAACAATATTTTGGTAGTATGCACATAAGATTGAAAGATTTGTTTAAAAACATTAGCATAAGTAGAATATGAGGTTTATGGGTTTTTCTAATGAGAGAGACAAGAAATGAAGCCAAGTGCTCATTTCTGCCGATTCATCGAGATGATAAGAGGCGTTAAAATGTTGTTAGGAGGAAGTTTGCTGCTCTCCGCCGGGGTCTGGCAGAGTCTCTGCATTTAAACAGAGAAATTTCTCTCTACTTCTATTCTCAAAAGGCATTTCAGGTGTGAGAGAATCTTCTTGAAATATTAATAAATTAAATAGAAAACAGCTTATCATAACAAGAACTTTTCCTGATTATCCACTGATTCGCATTATCTACAAACAGGAAATAATTTCATAGAAGGCTTTTATTTTTAATTTCGTAAAGTGGGGGGTGGTTATTTTTGCAAGTACAGATGAATATGGCTGATTTTTTATATTTTCTTTAACTTAAAATATTTTTTATTGCAATTTTGGAATGACTGAAGCTGCTATGAGCATCCATGTACCTGGCTGGGAGTGAGCACAGGTCTTCATTTCTCTGGAATAAATGCCCCAGAGCACAACTGTGTGGTAAGAAACTACCAAACTGTTTCCCAGTTGGCTGTGCCATTTTACGTTCCCACCAGCAATGTATGAGTGGCCCAATTTCACCGCATCCTCACGAGCCTTTGGTGTCATCACTATTTTTTATTTTAGTCATTCTTCCAGGTGTATATTGATATCTGATTGTGGCTTAATTTGCATTTCCCTAGTGGTCAGTGATGTTGAACATCCTTCCACTAGCCTGTTGGCCATCTGTATCCTCTTCAGTGAAGGTGTGTTATATCTCTGTCCATATCTTTTGCCCATTTTCTAACTGGATTGCTTTTGGTTGTGTTTCGTTGTTGAGTGTTGAGGATTCTATATTCCAGATACTAGTCTCTTATCAGAAGTGGGATTTGCAAATATTTCCTCCCACTCTGTAGCTCGTCTTTTCATCCTCTTGCCAGGATCTTTCGCAGGGCAAAAGTTGTTCATTTTGATTGAGTCCATTTTTTCCTTCTATGAATTGTGCCTTTGGAATCAAGTCTGAGCTCCAACTCCTAGTCCTAAGCCCAGAAAATGTTCTACATTTTTCTAAAAGGTTGATGGTTTGACATTTTGCATTTTTAAAAGCTTGTGATTCGTTTTCGGTTGATTTTAGTTGTGTAAGTTGTGATGTTTCAGTCAAAATTCATTTTTCTGCCTGTGGGTACCAGTAAAATTGAGCACACCAAGCCCCAATCCCAATTTCTAAATACTCATGTTTATTTTGAAGAAATCCTGACTCCTTGGAGAAATGCCAGGAGTGTCTAGGTCAACAACTGTGCAAAGGGAGCATGGTCGTCTTGTGCTAATGTCTTGTAAAGTTAACCACACACTTGCCATATGACCCAGCGATCCCACACCTGTGAAAACTATAATATGTCCACACAAACGCTGCAAATTTCGTGGCAGCTTTATTCTCACAAACCCCAAACTGAAACAGCCCAAATGTCTGTCAACAGGGGAATGAATAAACAAATCTGGTACATGTTACAGTGCAGGGCTACTGAGAAATAACAAAGACCCGACCACAAATACGCACAAAAGTGTAGATAAATCTCGAAAACATGATGCCAATGAAAAAATAACAGACACAAAAGAACACGTATGATTTAATTGATACGAAAACTGAGAAAGACAAAATGAATCAGTGGTGATGAAAGTAGATTGTGGTGCCAAAACTCACCCAAAAGGGGCACGAGAAAACTGGTAGGATGATGAAAATTCTGTGTCTTGATAATGGTGGGATCATACAAGTATTCACCTTTGTCAAAAACCTCCGAACTCCACAGAAGTCAGAATGATTGCATTTTATTTTCTATAACTAATATTGCACTTAAATTGATGCTTAAAAAAAAAAAGATTAAACTGGGAAGTCAAGAGGACACAGAAGCCACCTTGAAGGGCTTCCTCTGGTCAGATCAGGACAATTTGGACATCCAAAAAAAATCATCACTTTTAAATAAGGAAGAGGAGGCTGGGCGTGATGGCTCAACACTTTGGGGGCCAAGGTGTTCATCTGGGATCATTTGACACGGGAGTTCAAGACCATCCTGGGCAATATAGTGAGGCTCAGTCTCTACAAAAAAAAAAAAAAAAAAAAAAAAAATGTGATTAGCCAGGTGTGGTGACCTGTGCCTGTAGTCCCTGCTACTTGAGGCTGAGGCAGGAGGACTGCTTGAGCCCAGGAGTTTGAGGCTGCAGTCACCTGTGATCGGGCCACTGCACGCCAGCCTGGGCAACAGAGAAAGACCCTGTCTCTAAAAATAAAAAATAAAAATACAATAAGGAATACACAAAAATCTAGGGGACCATAACGAGTGTATGAAGAGTGAAGTGCAGGGAGAGAGAAATTTGTCTTTAGGGATCCATATCTAGGAAGTAAACATGTAAGAAGAAGGAAGGAGATGGTCGCCAGCAAAGGCAGGGTTGTGGGTGAGGCAGCGAGCACAGGGTGTGATTTTAGGGTGCTGGCAATGTTCTAGTTCTTGATCTAGGTAGTGGATCTATCTAGTGTTCCCTTCAGAATTACTAAACTGTGCATGTCTATATGCACGTTATATTTCACAGTAAAAAGTGCATCGTCTGTATTCAGAGAAGCAAAAATCTAAGTAGCCCCTTTAAAAATATGATTTCAAGCCGTGGATTCCATTTCTCTAATCCAAGCACCTATTCAATTTGACAAGGGGAGATCTGTGTGTAATTAAAAATAGAGCTAATTCTTGCATAAATGTTATCAAGAAAGCCTTTTTTACAACTACAGATAGGCCTTCTTGGAGAACCCAAGATGAGAAATATCAAGTTGTCAGAAGAGAAACAGCTTTATAATAAATTATCTCTCTTCAATTTAGAAGGGTTTGAAAATTCCTCTAGCGATAAAATGTCTACTCTTTTCTAAAAATGGAAAGAGGAAACAGAACGGAGAATCTCCTTAATCTGAATGAACATCCAGCCTACTGAGGGTCTTAGGTGGGCTGTTTTCTCAAGCTCTCTCTGAAAATATTAATTAAGTTTATCAAATGAAATTTGATTTTCATGAAAAAAGAATTTGATTAGGACCTTGAGGAGAACTGATTGGAATCTAATGTGTTCAGAGGTTGGTGTCGGGGGCTCCAGCAGTGCCTGCTTGGGGCTAATTGATGAGCACCGCGGGTTCATTTTTGCTTCCTTTCCTCCCCTCCACAATGGCTCCACTCCCCTATCATTACCTTGATAATAAAAAAAAAAAGCTTGATGATAAAAATTGAAAATAACAGGCATATTCCATCTCTCTGAGCTCAATCTTGGGTGAAAACCTTTTCATCTCCAGAGGTTTCATCTTCTTCTTCTTCTTCATTTTAACACATTTGTTCTGCTTTGCCCAGAAAATTATTTTGGTTTGAGACTACTCTTATTTATTCATTCTTGTGGATGAAAGCAGAGGCCTGGATCATGCAAAATGATACAAATCCAGGAATTTTTTCTATTTGACTTTCAAATGTGGGCTTGTACTTATGTGTCATTATGCGTATGTTTAATATTCTGGGGGCATTCAATTCAGACAAAATAACATAGTTGCAGGATAAGCATCTACCTGGGAAAAGTCCGAGAGGCCACCCCGGGTTCTGAACCCACTCCTTCACCAGCATCTAGGCTCAGAGGACAGGCAGCCTTACCCCTCGACAGAGGGCAGATTAAAGCCCGCCCCCACCCCCAAGCCCACCAACTTTTCACCCTCTTCCCTGAAGCAAGAAAAGCCCAGGGCTTCCAGGTGCTATGTGCATCATCTTAGATGCAAACATGGCACGTGCTACTGATATCTGGGAAGGGAGCTTTGCCTTCAAGGAGATGGCTTCTTGAAAGTCCAAATATCACCTTTTCTAGTCTTTCCTTCTGGGCCAATCTTAAGGTTAGTTGTTGGCTGGGTCCCCCTACACTCAAGGGGAGGAGATTGACATGAGGAAGAGACAGGATCACAGGAGCCCCCTACAGTCCTTCTAACTTAACTGCTGCGTTTATAGCCATCTGCCCACCAGAACAGGCTAATCAGGTGACACAAACATACAAGCAAGCAAGCGCTGAAGCCGTTTGAAGCAGCCTGTTCACAGCTAGCATCTCTGGGTCTTCCCTCCTGACCATGTTATACCCCCTGCTCATGACTGGCTAATTTAGAAAGAGGAAGGAGGAAGAGAGGAAGGAAGGATGAAAGGGAGGGAGGGAAGGAGAAATGGAGGGAGGAAAGAAGGAAAGCAGGAAAGGAGGAAGGGAAGAAGGAAAGAGGGAAGAAGGGAAAGAAGGAAGGAAGGAGGGAAGGAGAGAAGGAGGGAGGGAGGGAAGGGGGGAGTGATTCTGTAGTTAATGACCTCTGCCCAAAGGATAGAGATGAAACCCTCCCTGTCCTGAGGTTTCCTCCAAAGCTGTCTAGAAGTTTCAGGTGGGCATGGACATGGGTGTGGGTGTGGGCGGGTCAACCCCAAGCAAAACCAGAGTCCTCCTCTCTGCATCCTTGCCTGCTTTCTCTCCTGTAGTTCCTCCTCTCAACTCCTGAGGGGCTCCCTTTGGTCCCCTCAGCGGGGAATCTCCTTGTACTGCTACTCCGTGTCCTCAGCAAACTGTGCTCAGGACTCTCCACTTGGCTCCTGATGTGCAAAGGAATGCTCTTGAAGCATAGAAGGAAATAAAAACAAATAAACCTTTTTCTCACTCCAGCCAGGTCTACAGAGTACACTCCTGCCATGGACTCAAAATACCTGATTTGTCATCAAACCTGAGCAGGGATCCCTTTTTCTAGACATTTGCAGTCTTCCTCCCAAGCTCTGACTGCCACGGATTCCATACAAGGGTAACCTACATCATCTACAAGAAAGGAAAACACAGCAGTTTAA